TTTTAATTAAAGATTCTGAACTTTAATTAAATTCATTATGAACAATGTTTTTTATTATTATCTTTAAACACTATCGTCTCGTATATAACACTTATATACTATGTTTAAGGTTACATAAATAATCACAGAATTTTCATTTGATATTCATAAAATATTCATAAATATATGCACATAAAATGATGAATAAACTCTTTTATTAATTAAATAATAAATATCCTATTACATCTTATTCTTCTATGACACTATTCCCAACAATCTCCCACTTGTCCTAAAGCGTGTGTGTCATGTCTCTAATCCCAAATCCATCTAAGTGCTGATCAAATACATTCAATGGCAATGTCTTGGTGAACGGGTCAGCAAGGTTGTTCTCTGACGCGATCTTCAGAACCGCTACATCGCCTCTATCCACAATGTCTCTGATCAGGTGATATTTCCTTTCTATATGTTTCGCACTCTTATGGCTTCTAGGTTCCTTTGAATTAGCCACCGCTCCACTATTGTCACAGTAGAGCTTAATTGGCTTATCCATTTCTAGAACAACTTCCACTGGAGACTGAACCCAGAATCTCTGGTTAGCGCAAAGAATTTTGGTGAGAAAATCGATATGAAGCTATGCTTCCGAGAAGAACAAGAAGCAACGCTGCGAATCAAGGCAGCCAAATTGAAGATAACATCGTGAATCAAGCCAATCAAGCCAATGGAGAAACGGGTGAGAATCACCTTGCAGTTAGGAATGAAGAAGTTCCAGCCCTAAGGGCACCCCAACTAGATCCAGTCAAATGCAAGCACAGCTAAATTCCCTGAATGATATGGTTCGACACTTGGTGGTTACCATAGAGAGAATTGATGGGAGAAACTCAATGCCTCATCTTGAAGATGCTCTACCAAGACCACTAAATGGAGCTGCAGCCAGGAACTAGAATAATGGTGACCAGTGCGGTGCCTTGGAAGGAAGTGGAGAGAGCGAGAACACAAGAGGAAATAACCCTAGACCTTGACTGTCAAAATCGTTGGGCAGCAAGTGAAGGGCTGCCAGGAGACGAACCCAGGAAAGGGAAGCTAAAAATGGACAAAAACTGCCCTCGAGGGCGCCACCTCGAGTAAACCAGGGCAACGATGCCTAGGAAGACTCAAGGTCAATGCAAAAGGAACATGATGAATGCTAGAAGAGCCGAAGCCTCAAAAGGAGTCAACTCTGCAATCTCAATGGCATAGGCTAAGGAGATTATGGAGTGCATGGCAAGTTTGGAAGAGAAGCTTATGGGTGATGTCACCGGTTTAGAGAAAGATGTAAAAGGCCAGGTGAGTCACCTACAGAAGAATTTGGGGCAAGTAGCAGAGGTGGTGAACGTTGACATTGCCCTGGAGAAGGTTCATGATCATCCTTTCACAGCAAAGATCATGGCGCCGCCCCTTCCAGAGAAGTATAAAGCACCATCAATTCCTCCTTATGACGGAAGAGGAGATCTCGATGACCACTTGGAGTTGTACATGGGACATATGATGTTCCACGGTTACTTTAAAGAAATCATATGCCGAGCTTTCCGTAACCATTTGATAGATTTAACCTGTCGATGGTTTAGGACACTGAAACGAAACTCTATCTCTAGCTGGGATAAATTGAAGGAAGCCTTCTCCTTACAATTCATTAGGGCGAAGAAATATATCATGCCGAAACAAAATTTGACGATGGTCTATCAAAAGCCGAATGAATCATTGAATGAATGGCTTGCAAGGTTCGGTGAATCAATCGTCGCAACCACCGACATGACTGGTAGGGAGACTTTAATGAGAGCCCTCTCCAGTATGAAAAAGGGCACCCCATTTAAGTGCGACTTCAATCGCAAGCAGTCGTCCACATATAGAGAGTTTTTGGCTAGGGCGTAAGGATTCATCAACGCTGAAGATATCGAGACTAATGACTTGAACATAGATCAAATTAGAAAAAAGGAACAGATCAAGGGTCTATACTATTTATCACAAATTTTTAGATATGATATTTACCATAAATATTTATAGAAAATGACCTATATGCTATAATTTCACTAATTCTGTTTGCATTAGCTTTTGAGTGCTAAGCGCCAAATCTTTAACTCGTGCATAATGTGAAGTCACTGCCTTAATAAGCAAGAACATGATATTTTACAACAAACTATTCTTACAACAAAATGAAAGGCTTTGTTCATTAAAAAAAAAAAATATATATATATAATAATAATAATAATAATAATAATAATAATAATAATAAAACACAATATAAAAGACTTTCATAACGAGTAAAATTCCACTTCTGCCTCAGAAGAAGCCTTCTCATATCCACTTATCTCTCTCCGGACATCTGAAAAAGATAGAGGGTCACAAATGATTGTCATCTTCTGCAAATTTTTTGTATTCTTGAGCAAATACTTTATCAGTTCCAGTACGTTCCACCGTCGAAGAGCGAGCTCGATTCTCACAAATCTCAAATTATGCATAAACGGGATGTTTTCCGATTCTGAACATAGCATGCTTCTACCACAATCCGATTCCTACAATGGTAACAAGTTCATCATCAAGACTATTAAAAAAAAATGGTCACCAATAAATTTAGGATGATATATAAAAAATATTACCTCTTTAGATGGAAAATTGTGAGGGTATTGAAATGGAAAACATTTATTCTTTACAGAAAGACAAATCAAATTCGGTGCTGCTTCGAAAAGGGATATTATAGTTGGCAGTAAGTCATCCCAAGCATCTCCGACATTGTATATAACTATTGTTGACATAGATGTGAACAAAATTGGCAAACCACCCTGAAATGACATTTATTGAAACAATGTTAATTTATAGCAATAACAACCATAACATAAGAACAAATCGAAAACTACTAAACAAAGATCAGAAGGCACGGACTAAAACAACATTACAGTATTAGGTTAAGGAGTTGCATATCACATTTTGCAATTTTAACAAAATTAGATGGCCATGTTTTAACCGGAAAAAATCGAAAAGGAAAAAGAAAAACAATGTTACTTACCTGCAGACAATTATAACTAATGTGTAGATCTCTAACTTTACGAAGAGCACGAAGAAGATGAACTAGGTTCTGATCAGTAGAACTCGAGGGAGTTACCAAAATCCCAGCGAAGTTCAAACACATGAAGTTGGCCTCAAGTTGGACTTCCGATATTTTTCCATTCCATACAAAAGTACCAAGCTTCGGAGCAGAAAGTTGCAGCACTCTGTTGTCAGGGTTAGAAAATGTCCAGTGTAAAATCATGCTTTCGAGTGTTTCCGCGCACACTTGAAGATTGAAGAGGTTACGGGGACACACAACCATTAAAGCTTTTAGAGAAGAACTAGTGATGTTGATGCTCTTTGTGCCGTCTATTTTCACAAGGGACAAAACCATAAGGGATTTGCAGCATGATAAAACCCAATCCCCGAAGGACTTGTCGATTCGGAGAGAATTCAGAGTTAAGTACTTAAGGCTAGTAATTGCAGTAGACGAAGATGGAATTTTGAGAATGGCACCATTGTGTAGATTCACTTCAAGAGCCGTCAACGATGTACTAGAGAGAAGACTAGTAGGCAATGCGAAATAGGATTCCCTCCTGAGGTTGAGCTGAAGATTAAGCATCTTGGCATTACACGCGACGGCATTGTGCAACCACGAGAGAATGCGGTACTCCTCTTCATTGACAAGGCTGCTTTGCATACACCATGAGATGTAACACCACTCGATATTCTTCCCATTACGGAGAAACAAGAGCCTGTCGATGTAGTTGATGAGACGGACTCGTTTTGGCTGATTGTTGCTGTATGGAATGAGATCGAAAACCAAGAACGGCGATGATATGCAGACTTGTCTGCATCGTCTCGAAACAACACTCAGTCGAGAAATGTCTTTCAAGGAAAGATATGAAGTGATTTTGTGGACAATGTGGTCCGGAAGACTGCTGAATTTGTCCATGTTATTGCACGTCCTATGACACTTGGACAGGATTTCCATCTCGGCACAGGTTTTCTTGTTCCTGCAATCGAGAATAAGAATGGGAGATAGAGCATCTCAACTATCAGGATTAAGAAAGATGTTTAAAACATAACAATGTCAATTGATAAAGTTCACATTTTGAAGCAATTGAACTTTTGATTAGCTCTCGGTACACTTGAAAAATAAAAAAAAAAAAAAAAAAAAAAAAAAAAAAAAAAAAAAAAACAGAAGAGACAACTTGGTTTAAAAATTAAGAGAGTTAGTGTTAAGGGGAATTGACATAAAATTTAATGGTTCAGGGAGTCTAAGGCCCCGTTCATTTCACCATTCGAGTTTAAAATTCAAATTTTGTTAAAGTAAAAAACTCTCAGAAACAGTCACATCTAACTTTTTTAATACAGTAAAAAACTCTCACATAAAGTCACATCTCTACTCGAATTAAAAACTCAAATCAGCGAACTAAACGGACCCTAAATTATTCAGGTAAAATACAGTGTTATGTACTTTTTTTCCTTTTCCCCCTTCAACGGCAAGATGGTTTCTTTTTATATGTTCATAATTTTTCCAAAAATAAAAAAATAAAAAAAAATGTGAAACATCCCCTTATGTGACAAACTTGTTGGCAGTTTCAAGAGCTCGTTCACATAACTAGTGCATTCTCCTCCACCACAAATTTGAGAAAAGAATGGTGAAAGAAATGACAACTTCTAAGGCAGATATGACAAGAACCAAAGAGTCCGAGACATGATAATTATCAAAAAGAAAAAAAAAAAAAAAAAGAAGAGAGAGAGAGAGTCAAAGACATTGCGAGGAACACGTGGTCCTTTAAAAAGCTCATTGTTACAATTTGCTATCTTGTTTTTCTGTTGGGAAGAAATGTGTCATTGACTCATTTTAGTTCACGAAACGACTAGCCGTTTCATGGAAAGGAAACAACAACAACAACTTATATCACATGTAATTCGGAAATTAAAAAAAAAAAAGAAAAAGAAAAAGAAAAAACTAAAAACTAAAAATCACATTTAATGAAGGTTAGAAGAGTAATTCTCCATATAACTCGAACATTCAGAGAGGGTTAGAACTCACTTGGGAGCACTGAGAAGAAGCTATCCCCGAGAAATTGGCAAACCTTTCCTCTGTCAAGTGCTAAAGATTTTTCTGCAGTTAAATGACGAAACAAAACAAAAAAGATAAAAAAATATTCAATAATAATGGGTTCGATTAAAACAATAACGACAACAAAACTGGAGCTCAGATTGACAAAAAAAAAAAAAAAAAAAAGGGAAGAAAAAGACAACAAACGTTAATGGTAATACTCACAGAAACAGAGCAAAAATAAGCAGTTTGAAGGATGCCACATACACACACATAGATACATATATAGATACATACATACATACATATATATATATATAGAGAGATAATAAAAGAGGTTTTGTTCCGTTAGCTCTATCTCTTTTGCTAGAAAGAGAAGACCTTGGACTAAACTGCCCAAAAAGGAAAACAAGAATTGGTTAATGGTTAGAAAGATTACTGTAAACACTACTAAAACAAGTATAAACAAGTAACTAAAGCACCAAAAGAAGAAAGAGATTCGACAGAACTCCACAACATTAAACTTTAAAATATATTAAAATGAATACAAAACCTACCTTGTGGGGATTTTTTTTTTCTTATGCGTCCTCTGCAAAATGGAATGAGCTCGATGAGTTTTCCAATCACACTCACAAACATTTAAATAAGAAGCCCTGAAGAGCAGAAATAGACATCAGTGAAGGACTGATCCCACAAAGTACAAGTGAAGAACCAAAGAGTTATTAGGAAAAGGAAAAAAACGACAACTTCAAGAGAATGGACCGGTGTTCATCTTCCGCCACGTGTCTCTTCTTTATTTATTATAATGGTTAATGGTGTGAGTCGTTTGTTCTCTTTCTCCGTTTGTTTTGTGCTTGGAATTGGAAAAAAGAAAGCTGTCAACTTACCAAACTTGGAGCCTACGAGTTATGACATATTATGAAATGAGAATTCATGTGGAATTGTAAATTGTACGACATATTTATACTCGAGTAAAGCCATTAGGGACATGTGGCAGCGTTTCACGTTTTAAGAACGGACCACGAAATGGAAGAGTAATTTAGGATGGATGATTTCAAAAAAAGCTGCTTTATTGAAACATTCGTTGGCAGTTTCAATGACGAGTGACGACTGATTTCGCTTTCACCATAAAATACAAAAAACATGGATGAATGGCCGTTTTTTTTACAGATTTGAGTTTAAAATTTAAATTTTATTACAATAAAAAATTTTAAAAAATAATCACATTTAATTTTTTTACTATAATAAAAAATTCACACACAATATTACATTTCAATTCAAATTAACTAACTGAACGGACCTAATCACGCATTCTATTCTTTTTTTTCCCTTCTTTTTCTATGGACACTTTAGCAAAAAGAGGCGTGAGCAAGTTGCAATTTTTGTCATTTATTTATTAGTCGTTGCAATTTTTGTCATTGTATTTATTAGTCATAATAATAATAATAATAATTTTTGTCATTGTATTTATTAGTCGTTGCAATTTTTGTCATTGTATTTATTAGTCATAATAATAATAATAATAATTTTTGTCATTGTATTTATTAGTCGTTGCAATTTTTGTCATTGTATTTATTAGTCATAATAATAATAATAATAATAATAATAATAATAATAATAATAATAATAACAGTAAATACAGAGAGAGACAGAAAGAGTGATACTAGTACTTTTTTTATTCATTTCAATTTTCAAAACGAGATTGTAAATGATGGTTTAAACGGCTCTTGCAAAAATAAGTAAGCTCCCCACACACACAATTGTTAAAAAATTAAATTGGATTAAAAAAAGTATATTACAATAAATACAAAGAGAGACAGAAAGAGTAACACTAGTACTTTTTTTATTCATTTCAATTTTCAAAACGAGATTGGAAATGATGGTTTAAACAGCTATTGCAAAAACAAGAAAGCTCCCCACACACACGATTGTTAGAAAATTAAATTGGATTAAAAAAATATATTACAGTAAATACAGAGAGGAACAGAAAGAGTGACACTAGCACTTTTTTTATTCATTTCAATTTTCAAAACGAGATTGTAAACGATGGTTTAAACAGCTCTTGCAAAAACAAGAAAGCTCCCCACACACACGATTGTTAGAAAATTAAATTGGATTAAAAAAATATATTACAGTAAATACAGAGAGGAACAGAAAGAGTGACACTAGCACCTTTTTTATTCATTTCAATTTTCAAAATGAGATTGTAAACGATGGTTTAAACAGCTCTTGCAAAAACAAGAAAGCTCCCCACACACACACAATTGTTAGAAAATTAAATTGGATTAAAAAAACTATGATGATTAATTAAGCAAATTTGATTAAGATCTGAACGTCAAAAACTATTATTTATTAGCAAATTAATCAATAATCAAATTAATCGATAGTCATAGCAATGCTGAATTGCAGATGTATGTCGTTTTTTGTTCAAAACGGCATGATGTTCTAGACCACAAACAATAAGCAAACTTTCCTGGAAAACGGCTACTGCATTATGTTTTAAAATAAGAACTACATGTCGCGTTATCTGTGAACGACAGCATATCACAAGCGGCCGGCAACAAGCTTTTTACGAAAAACGACGTGTCAATTTGAAACAAATAATAAAAGAGACATGGTTAACTGTCCCCGAAGTTCTCTCAAACGAGAAAAAGGCTTGTCCTTTGACAAATTAAATACCAGAACTCTTTTCAACCAAAAAAAAAAAAAAAAGACATCTTACCGCACAACAAGTCAACAATAAACAAGCTTCTAGACTTGAATACTTTGTCGTTTCCAAGTAAAACGACAGCAGAAGAATTAAAACAAGAAAGGACTAGTTTGAAAAACCAAATAAACGACAGCGAACTATAGAAAAAAGCTAATGTGTCGCACTGAGCCCTAAAATCATCTGTCTTTATTTGTTTTTGTTTTTGTTTTTGCTTTTGCTTTCTTTTTTTATTTTTGTTTTGTTTTTTGTAGTTTGTTATGGTGAAAGTGAAAGCAGTCAACTCATATATCAACGTTGATGCGTAGATTCAGTCATGATCAATTCATGCCACCAAAAAAAAAAAAAAAAATCATGCCAATAAATGTTTCAGAAAAGGAGCCTCTTTTATTTATTTATTTTTTAAAAAAAAACGAATCAAACATAGGCCCCTTCTTAAAACTCTGCCGCGTGTCCTTCCTGAGGGTATTAATAATTTACACAAAAATTGTCTTTAAAAAATATGTCTTTCGCCCCTATACCCAAGTCCTCACCAGAGTTTCCTTTGACTATGTCCCGCTCAGGCATAATTCATCATCTTTTAGGTCTCAACAAACATACTCTCACTCGAACTTTTTGAAGGTCGGTTGGCGGTGCAACCCGTGAGGGGATCCCGCCAGTCAGCTTCCTTGCACCTTACAGGTTTACCCGCCATTGATTTGCACACATGTCAAATTCCTTTGTCCATGTTTCAAGACGGGCTAGATAGGAAGCCAATAGACCGGTGCTTGGAGCGCGTAGGTGCAAAGGCTGGACAGCACACGCTGCCTTCCACGGCGAAGGCGTCTCCACGGGCATGTCGACAGCCTGGGCTTGGGCAGCCGCCGCAATCTACATCGGTCCGTGCCCCAAGCCGATCGACGGTCCGGCTCTCTCCGTTCCACATCCGACCGGGGCGCATCGCCAGCCCCCATCCACTTCCCTCCTAACAATTTCAAGCACTCTTTGACTCTATTTTCAAATTCCTTTTCATCTTCCCCTCGCGGCACTTGTTTGCTATGAGTCTCTCGCTAATATTTAGCCTTGGACAAAATTTACCGCACGATTGAGGCTGCATTCCCAAACAACCCGACTCGCCGACAGCGCCTCGTGGTGCGACAGAGTCCGGGCATGACGGGGCTTGATTCTCTACTTGAGCTTGTCCCGGTTCGCTCGCTGTTATTAGGAGAATCCTCGTAAGTTTCTTTTCCTCCACTTATTGATATGCTTAAACTCCGCGGGTAGCCCCGCTGGACTTGGGGTCGCATCAGAAGTACCCGCGCGGGATGCGTTGGGGTAGACAAGAGTCTCAGTTCGTGTTTGGTGCACGTCATGGGGCACTGAGTGACCGACAACCACCTGTTGCCACCACAACCATGACCGAGGACTCGACTTTGGGCCAACCACGAGCCAGGATGCATGGGAGGCCATTATCCGCCCCCACACTCCCCAAGAACTCGAGGGAGAGTCCAAGCAGACGTGCCTTCAGCCTGATGGCTTTGGGTGCAACTTGCATTCGAAGACTCGATAGTTCACGGGGTTCTACAATTCACACTAAGTATCGCATTTCGCTATGTTCTTCATCGATGCGAAAGCTGAGATATATGTTGCTGAGTGTCATTTTAGAATTAAACCAAGCACGATTAATAGTAGTGGTAGTGGTAGAAAATGGAATCTTGAGATTGCCATCGTACAGATTCATTCCAAAAGACTCAAGCATGTACTAGAGAGAAGATTAGTAGGAAATACGAAAAACGTTTCCCTCGTTACCTTGAGCTCAAGAAAAAGAATCTTCACATTGCAAGTGACGACATTATGCAACCAAGAGAGAACGTCTGATACAGAACGTCTTAATATTCATCCCTTTACGCAGAAACAAAAACCTATCGGAGTAGTTCATTAGTCTTTCTTGTTTGAGTTGCTTGTTGTGATATGAAAGGAGATCAAGGTTCAAGTATGGCCTGGATATGCAGAGTTGCCTGAATCTTCTTCAAACAACACTCAGTCGAGAAATGTCTTCCGGGGAATTAAGAAAGGAAATAAGTTTGTGGGCAACTTCATCTGGAAGGCTGCTGAATCTGTCCATGTTATTACTTGTTCCAGTATACTTGGACATGGTATCCATTTCAATTGGTTTTCTTGTTCCTGCAAGCAAAAATAATGGAAATAGATAAAGAGCACAGTTTACTTTGTTTTTGTTAGATCTGATTTTACGTCTGGTGTTCCAGATGATGTTAGAACACGGCTTAATTAATTAAGATCCGTGTTAATTACGTTCAATTGTTCGAGTAGAATAAAGTGCAGAAAGTAAAGGAACACACAATATGATATTACAGTTCAGTGCACACACCTACATCTGCGAAGCCATGCCCAGACAATAAATAGTTTCACTATGTTCCAGAAATTACAGACACCGGAAGGACTTATTCACTTAAGGACTCCCTCCTAGACAATGACGCCTCTATGATGAATCTCCAAAGTGATTGTCTAGCATGCACCACACGTCTTCAAATCACCCAACTAAACTCT